CAGATCAAATCTTGGCTCTACTACAAACTATTACACACTTACTTCAACAGTTCAATATATCGCAAAAACACAGTTTTGATTTTGAACAATATCACCAATGGGAGAAATTCTTAAATCTAAATGTTTGGAAAGGAATACGTTTCTACTAAAACATACAAACCTCTTATATTATGATGAAAAAAGGATAGACATCTGATATGTATATATGCCACATATATAAGTTATACGAAATGAGCATATTTTATTGATTTATCGAAAATTTGGACGAAATCTTAACAATGGGTGGTACTGAACAACCAAAATCTTCTTTTTAGATATTTTTCAGGGTAGAAATATCAATTGATATTGGAAAACATAATTAACCATATTTTATTGAATGAAAAAATTATCAAATGAATATATATAATTGTCACGGACGTCCATACGTTATTCGAATGAGATAGATATTACTTTCGCCAGAATATTCTCTTCGACTGTGATGATTGTCTAAAATGTTGGCGGCAGTCTTGAATTTTCACCAAGAAGGAGCGCGATTCGTGCTGGACAATGCGGTTCAAAATTTGTAGAATGTCCATATAAGTCTATGTGCTGAGAATCTAGTAAGAATATATATGATCGTGAACTTTCGGACCCATTATTGACCGGGCTAACCGATGTCAACGTGATGCGATGTTATGCTGTCCTGATTCGCGAAGTTGCGACAAGATTCGTTACCGCTAAGACATTTAATTTTTTAATTTTCGGAGAACTGGGTCGGAGAACTGGGTTTCGGACAACTGGGTTTCGGAGAACTGGGTTTCGGACAACTGGGTTTCGGAGAACTGGGTTTCGGACAACTGGGTTGACCCCTAAATTATCTATCAATTCTAAAGATTTGAAGATAAAATATGTAATACATGTTGATATATCCTTATTTCTGTGAAGGAGGTACAGGAACCGACATTTACGTCACACATTCACTTTTTAGCCAATTTGGCATATTTTAGTTAGATTTGAAGTTTTTTATACGAAACAAGTGAAACTATTTCAGTTGTTTGAAATATTTTGCTGACTGGCAATACATAAACGGTAAATATTGTGATGTCAAAGTGTTGTATGGTATACCCTACTCCATATGCACAATGCACCTGGCCACATATCTCAAAATATCCAGAATATAATATCCCTGAACCTCAAAATTGAGCCCTTGGCTAATGTACCTTTTTGTCTCGATCTGCCCACATGTGACTTATTAATTTCTATACTCGTATTACTACATATTTCTATTGAGAAAGGATGCAGGTTTAATGATATTGATGAAATAAAACAAACTGTGCGACTGCATTTTGCTACCATGTCAGAGAATGGATTAGGCCTTGTCTCACAATCTTAATTGGGTTAAAAGGATGAGGAAGTGTGTACATGTAGCACTTGATGGAACCTATGCAGTGGGCCCTGGAGGATGAATGTGGCATGAATACCACATAGTGATGATAGAATATTCAAAATAAAGTATGGCATATTAAAATGGTGTAATTCATGACCATCATGGTTAGTTTTGTTCAGCCTGCATTCAACTGCATTGCATGTTCAACAAGCTAAAATAGCTTCAGAATGTGTGACGTTATGTCAGTTCCGGGGTACCTATACCTCCTTCACGGAAATAAAGATATATCAAAATATATCACATGTTTTGTTTTTAAATCTTCAGAGTTGATAGATAATTGAATGATGTATCACTGGTGAGAAAATCAAGGGGATTGGTGTATAAAAACGTCTGTGTAAAAAAGCGTCCATTACTCAATTTATTGATCACCCCTCGTTAAATTGCATAATTTTACTCTAAAGATGGTATGGTAGAAATAGTGCCAGCTTTTTCCAACTTTTGATATTGGAGCTGATGATAACATCATAATAAATCAACTACCCTATGTGCAATTTTGCTACTGAAAATTTGTATATACAGTGCCCTTAAGGTAGACCATGTCACACCACCATGACACACCTGAGATTTATATATGCCTTTACTTTAGACCATGTTACACCTGAGACTTGCATATGCCTTTAAGGTAGACCATGACAAACCTGACGACCTGAGATTTACATATGCCCTTAAGGTAGACCATGTCACACCAATATGACACACCTGAGATTTATATACAGTGCCCTTAAGGTAGACCATGTTACACCACCTTGACACATCTGAGATTTATATATGCCTTTACATTAGACCATGTTACACCTGAGACTTGCATATGCCCTTAAGGTAGACCATGTTACACCACCATGACACACCTGAGATTTATATATGCCTTTAATTAGACCATGTTACACCTGAGACTTGCATATGCCCTTAAGGTAGACCATGTCACACCAACATGACACACCTGACGACTTGAGATTTACATATGCCTTTAAGGTAGACCATGTTACACCAACGTGACACACCTGACGACTTGAGATTTACATATGCCTTTGAGGTAGACCATGTCACACCAACATGACACACCTGACGACCTGAGATTTACATATATCTTTAAGGTAGACCATGTCACACCAACATGACACACCTGACGACCTGAGATTTACATTTGCCTTTAAGGTAGACCATGTCACACCACCATGACACACCTGACGACCTGAGATTTACATATGCCTTTAAAGTAGACCATGTCACACCAACATGACACACCTGACGACTTGAGATTTACATATGCCCTTAAGGTAGACCATGTTACACCAACATGACACACCTGACGACCTGAGATTTACATATGCCTTTGAGGTAGACCATGTTACACCAACGTGACACACCTGACGACCTGAGATTTACATATGCCTTTGAGGTAGACCATGTTACACCAACATGACACACCTGACGACTTGAGATTTACATATGCCCTTAAGGTAGACCATGTTACACCAACATGACACACCGGACGACCTGAGATTTACATATGCCTTTGAGGTAGACCATGTTACACCAACATGACACACCTGACGACCTGAGATTTACATATGCCTTTAAGGTAGGCCATGTTACACCAACATGACACACCTGACGACTTGAGATTTACATACGCCCTTAAGGTAGACCATGTTACACCAACATGACACACCTGACGACCTGAGATTTACATATGCCTTTGAGGTAGACCATGTTACACCAACATGACACACCTGACGATCTGAGATTTACATATGCCTTTAAGGTAGACCATGTTACACCAACATGACACACCTGACGACTTGAGATTTACATATGCCCTTAAGGTAGACCATGTTACACCTGAGATTTACATATGCCCTTAAGGTAGACCATGTAACACCAACATGACACACCTGACGACCTGAGATTTACATATGCCTTTAAGGTAGACCATGTTACACCAACATGACACACCTGACGACCTGAGATTTACATATGCCTTTAAGGTAGACCATGTCACACCACCATGACACACCTGACGACCTGAGATTTACATATGCCTTTAAGGTAGACCATGTTACACCACCATGACACACCTGACGACCTGAGATTTACATATGCCTTTAAGGTAGACCATGTCACACCACCATGACACACCTGACGACCTGAGATTTACATATGCCTTTAAGGTAGACCATGTCACACCAACGTGACACACCTGACGACCTGAGATTTACATATGCCTTTGAGGTAGACCATGTTACACCAACATGACACACCTGACGACCTGAGATTTACATATGCCTTTAAGGTAGACCATGTCACACCACCATGACACACCTGACGACCTGAGATTTACATATGCCTTTTAATTAGACCATGTCACACCAACATGACACACCTGACGACTTGAGATATGCCCTTAAGGTAGACCATGTCACACCAACATGACACACCTGACGACTTGAGATTTACATATGCCCTTAAGGTAGACCATGTCACACCAACATGACACACCTGACGACTTGAGATTTACATATGCCCTTAAGGTAGACCATGTTACACCAACATGACACACCTGACGACCTGAGATTTACATATGCCTTTAAGGTAGACCATGTCACACCACCATGACACACCTGACGACCTGAGATTTACATATGCCTTTAAGGTAGACCATGTTACACCTGAGATTTACATATGCATGTCACACCAACATGACACACCTGAAGACCTGAGATTTACATATGCCTTTAAATTAGACCATGTTACACCTGAGACTTGCATATGCATGAATGTGAATCATACCTTTAATCCACATTTTTATTTAGGAGAATTAAGAATTTTCCCTTTGAAGAATGGATAACCTCACCATTTGAGAACATATCTGATCACGGACCCTATGAGCACGCGTGATGAGGGATAATCACACTTAGTATAGTATAGTCAGTATATTGGTATTTAAGTAAGAAAAAAAGAATGCATTGGAATGCCAATTTTCATTTTCCTATCAATTTTATCATCCGTGTATATTTAATTCTGCTTTTAAGTATACTATGTAGCAGCAGAGATGTGATTTTCCTTAAGTGAGATCGAGTCGTATTTAGGATGTAAAGGTTCTCTTAGGTAGACCATGCCAACAAGGCCCCATGAAAAGTTTCACCACTTTGGTTTGAAGTATAGCCGTACCAAATATTAGCAAGATAACAAAAGTGTTTTATAGAAAATTTCTCAAACTGTTTTTAATTACATGAACTTTTTTATTAAACAATTTTATTCATTTCTTCAGAAAATAACTTGGGGATACAAGTCGAAAGCCTTGATAAAAATTCTCTGAAGAAATGAATAAAGTTGTTTTAATATCTTTAAACCAGAGAGATGAACTTACATAGAACTACGTGTACATGAAAATTGAATTTAAAGCAAAGGGTTGGATCAATTTGAATCAATAGAAATTAAAAAGCATATAAAAGTATATATGAAATCCCACGCCCGTAAAACAGAGAGTATGAACTGAGGGGGGGGGGGGTTCGAAGATTTCCCAACTCAAGTTAACTTATACACTTTTAAGGTATGACACCTATTTAAAAGGAACGTCACTACCTTGCAAACTGCAAACACTCTTTTTGCTATAAACCATGAAGTGAAGGTCTACGCGACCTGTTATAAAATCATACATAATCCTGACAAAATGTATGTCATTATAGTTTTCAATAAGTTAAAAAACGTTATAAAAATAACAAATAATGAGGATATACAGCGAGTAAAGTTAGTTCTCCACTGCTTGGTTTATAGTAAAAGAGATTAAATTTTGCAGATTTGTTGAATTTCAATGCAGGAATCATACCCCCCCCCCCATCAACCCATTTTGTCCGTTTACGGTCCTGAGTCTGAAGAGCTGGAGAATTTTTGCAGATTTAACTCTTGTTTGTTGTACCAATCTTGGTTATACATGTATTTTATCCCTACTTATATATTGGAAATAAAAGATGCATTTTCATTTACATCGTCATTACAATTTTACACATGATAGAGTACCATGCTCGTGAATCTCAATGAATAGTCATAACCCAACCAGTCTTTCCAGTAAATGCCATCGTAGAAGCCACCAGAGGGTTTGTACTTCCCGGTGTGGTAGTAAAGTCCATTCAACATGGCGTATGCGCAGTAGTTGTACCACCAGCCAGCACGCATGTTGATTGCACATTTATGGTAGTCTGGTTTGTCCTGCGTGGCAAATGGCATTCCATTTTGGTAACTCATATCATCTGGGACGTTGCCACTGAACCCATAAATGTTAAGCTTGAAGCCAGTTGATTCAGGTCCAAGGACAAAATGGTTATACTGGGCATAGCGGGTATCACCGTTGAAATCTTGGAGAGTGATGTACAGGATGCTATTGCCTGAAATAATACAAAATATGCTAATTACTGTAATGACTGAAAGGCACGGTAGTACAGGCCCTTAGCCAGAGAGCGGATGCTTTCCATGAGGCCAGAAATTCAGTCTTTCAAAATCATTCAATTTGTCACCATTTCGAGCACTTTTTGCATATTTTTTAGCAAAATTGTAAAAAAGCTTTACTTCCCCCTTGACAAAAGCTCCCCCTTTGGTAAGATCTCGCTACGGGCAAGCCATACGCTTTTGCCAGAAATGATGTATTAAATGCTATTGTCTGTGAGGTTGTAGTATACAAATAGTGACTGCCATGGGAAATAGTGCAAAATATTTTTCCCAAGGGAATATCCTGTCCACTGACATGCCAGTGGACAGGATATTCCCGTGGGGAAATTTTTACAATATTTCCTGAGAATGAGGCAGTCACTATTTGTTTTATTATAAACCCCATATGTACTCTCTCTGTAAGCAAAAACAAGTTGAAACGTCTTTTGATTTCAACAGTCAATGCTTACAGTCTGAAAGGATGTAAATGGTGAAAAATTCTGGAAAGAAGAAGAAGTTTCACGTTTTTGAGTACCTTTCCCCTCCCTCCCTTGCAATACAGTTTCTCACTCTCAGGCTAGATCCCCTGAGCTAAAAATAGATGGCGAGGTAAAATCGATAGGTCTTTAAAAATGCTCATGTGTTAGATCAAACCAGTTAGGATGTGACCACATTCCGACCTTTTTTATTTTTATCGTATAATGTACCTGTATTAGAAAGGTGGTATATATTATTCAGTCCAATCCAATATTCTGTAGTCGGATGTCCAAATCCAAACTTGTAGTCATTATAGCCACGATTGAAGTTCTCTGTTCCCCCGAATCTGCGCTGAATTAAAGTTCCCGTTGCATTCAGTGAATGTTCACACCAAACCTGTAACGACAGCTTGAGAGAATATAGAATTTTCCGTGTTTTACTTTTTCCTCTGAAGCGTCAAATCTTGAATAAAAGCGATCAGAATATTTTTTGCACAAGTAGCGTTTCAGTTGGAAAATCGGTATGACTGCTGACTGTGAAGATAGGTCTTCGTTTAAAACAAAGGATAGGATCGTGCTAACAAAGGATAGGATCGGAATGTCTGTGAAGATAATGAAAACATGATAATCGAATTCATGGGATTGCCATATTGTGATTTCAGAGATTGGTACCAAACTCGTGCCATTTTAAACAGAAATGAAGGTTACTCACAAAGATATACCTATTACATGGAACAGATTATTTTCTTTGAAATATCGGAAAATCTGAGCTCAAAATAAATCAGTTTTTAGTGTTTTTGTACAAAATTGCTGACTCTTCATAGCGGATAAAGGAGTCTTCCGATCCCAACCCGCTTTTAAAAATATAACTAAATCCTGACCGACTATTATTGCATCGTTTACACATAACATTTTAGACTATACCTTAAAAGGACGAGTTGCATTGGGATATATATCGAACCATCCTGGTTCCGAATGTCCATTTTGATGGGCATGTTGACAGCCTGGAATGAGAGAGTGCAAAAGGACATCATTATATCATTATCATCTAGAAACCATTCCCTTCTATTTTAGTTCATTTTAAGTTGGAAAACAGAGATCTATGATACTTGGTATCACAAAGGAGGGGTTAGTATATATTTAGCAGCAGGTCGTTATTAAAAGAAACAAGATTTTCACACAGCAAAATGCTTTTCACACAGAATGATTTCATGGTCTTATAAGTTGACGTGTCCTCGACCAAAGTTATTTTCATTATTTTTAATTCAATTTAATTTTTTCTTATTTTTTGTATTGTTAAATTGAAAGTAAAGTAAGACAAACTTATTTGCAGTAACAAATATTCTAAGTTGAATTTCAAGTGGATAACTATTGGAAACCTTCGTTAAAATATGCTAAAAAATATAATGAAAAACGACCATCCGATTGCAGCTTTTCAATAACTTCGTATTTTGATCATACAGAGGCTGCATGTATTAGGCTGCTTACGAATCGTGCAGAGACATGGTTGAAACTGTTAAGCGGCTTTAGTTTAAGAATATATGGTGTGAAAATCTTGAAACTTGTAAAACGACCTTATTGACGTTGACCAAGGCGATGACATCCCATGATATATATAATCATTAAATTTATGATATATATAATTCTATACTTACTTTTATATTTAATTTTTTCAGCTACTAATGTCATTAACAAACACGCTGTTAGAAGCACAAATCTCAGTAGCGCAGCCATCTAGATCTCTGCCTACAATTTAGTGATCATTGTGAATGAGGAAATACTGATATTATAGCAACAAATAAATGTTATCTATCCTCGGCTTCCCTAATATGAGGAGATTTAACTCATTTTGTGAGTAGTTGTTGGAAAATGACTGTTCTGTTTCCTGTTGAAAGATATAATGTGCTTCATATGACTGCATCATGTGATGGGAATATGTCACATCATAAGAGGCATTGTTTTAAAATCATGTGTCTTGTGTAAATTACATTATTTTAAGTTTAAGGAAGAATATATTACCATAACCCCTCAAAAATACGAGTAAGATATTTTTGAATTATTCATTATTCGAGGGTATGAAAAGTTCATACCTTGTAAATCCAAGATTTGATTTTATTCATTTGACAAACGCTATTCGTATTGAATCAACGTTACACTACAACGAGTCCATCCTCCGAACGCAGGGGTCCAAACATCATCGAACACTTACAGAGTTCATGATGTCTTGACTACGTTCGGAGGATGCAATGAGCTTAGATGCGTCTCACCAAATATATGAAAAACATCTACGCGTTGCGGTTTCAAGAATCATGGTATCAAGTTATGACCATATGCCTTAGCAACGATTTGGAAATCTTTAATTTATGCATATCTCGTATAGCCTTTTAATAAAAATGCTTAACTTCCTCGTTGAACATTATATCTAGCACATTCGACATTTTGTTTTACTTTACTATTCTAAGGCCATTATGCATTCTATGTTGCAGTTTCGTTTTCATTCTTGATGTCAACCTAATACTAGTAGACAACAAAATTGTCATCACTGGGTATAAATCATTCAATCCATTCAAAATGAATTTAACAACTGAAAAGTTTATTTTATGATATCATTTAATGTCTTAAACCTGAACACTTGTCATTGACCCTACAGCACGGTACCAAATGTCATGATGATGACAAATCGATATAATAAAAATACGCTAAAATGTATGTTAAAAATACCCTGTGTAGTGTGTATTACATGTAATTGTTCGTTGTAAATACTTTTCAAATACCCTCTTACCTTAGGAGTGCCAAGTGACTTCTATGATGGTCTCTCATATACGTTGGGTTACTCTTTAACATGGGACTTTGATTCAGTAATGTTAATGGGTAGCTTTTGATGCACATGTTAGCCTTCTTGATGATTCACTATCACATGCTTAAACCCGGGAATTTCACGCAGTAAATAACACATTTCAAGAACAATGTTTTTGTGTTTAGTAATATAATGAATAGTATGAGTAAATATGGTTCATTCGATATTTGATCTTGCATGAAGTACTGTACATGTGTAAATGTACTATACATGTATAAATATATCAAAAGTATAAACAACTCTGTCAACACTAGATGATATTTTAAACATAGTGTAGCCTTTTATTCCTTGGCCTTAGCCCTTAGATCATAAGTACTTAACCATGTTTGCTTTGAGCAGACTTTAATATTCCTACTATCAATGACCTATTGAGAAAGATTAAAATTATACTGGTTAAATACGTTTTCTAGAGGGGTTTCCACAATAGAGGAGTTTCTAAATACCTTTGAAATCTCACTAATTTTCGTTTTTTCATGAGATTTTTAAAGTTTTGCACTTTTTTTTACCTCTAATGACTTACTTTTCTTTATTTTTGATAGCATTTTTGAATTCAGTGACAAATTTTCTTCAATTATAGCTTTGATTTAAACAGTTACCTTATTTAAATCATTTTCCATGACATTTAAAAAAACTCGGGCCACATCTCCATTGGTGCAATGCTAAAATTCATTACAATCCAATAGTATGCCATTCGAGTTTCCGACAGATTCAACCAACACTTTTTGATAAATCATGAAATTAAGTGACTATTGCAAGTTTCTAGCATTGAAGTGAATGGAGGTCTGGCCCAAGAAAATCGAAGACAAACAAGAGTGACTATGTCAGCGTTATTCACAGCTATTTAGACACCATACAATAGACCTTCCCAATAAATCCTGACCCCTATTTGTGAACCAAGGAAACTAGGGTATATTGGCTAGATTTATGATGTCACACTATACAGGCAGCAATATTTGTAAACAAAATTGAAAGAAGTTTTTGAAAATTAGCAATATTTTAATCCTATTTCTGCACTGAAATTGTAAGAATGACATCATAACCAATAGATGGCATGATTTACTGGATTGGTCTATTGACAGAGGCCTATTGGCATTTTACTAATTATTTTTGTACACCTTCAGGTAAAACATCATGATCCATTGAACCTATGTGTATGATAGCCCTGGTTTTGAATATAGCCCTTGATGGAGCACACGCAAGAGACAATAGTGCACATATCTTGAAATTAAAATCAACAGTTTTAGCTTTTCAAGTATCTTGAGAAGTTTGGAAGTTTGGTTTGAAAATTCCTACAATTTAGTTCTATGTGAAATTCATCAACATCAACAATTGATTTTAATTTTAAAACAATCATCGGTATTTGTATAATATGATAATAATGTGCAGACGATCTTATCAAATCTTGAAAACATATTAATATAACAGTTTTAAATACATATCGTTTTATCATAAAAAAACATAAATGACACGCAAAAGCCAAAGTGTCAAAAGACAGCTGTGAACCATGCTTATAAGTCATCACATATAAATAAGAACAAAATCCCTCCACTACTTTTGAAGTTATAGCAAAAATCATAAAATAGCATGTAACCGCCACCATTTTCCAAGATGGCTGCCATGTGTTTCCTAAATATCTACATTTCTACCTTTATTAATGTCTTATCAAACTTTTTTACCTTGAAAACGTATAAATATCAGTTTAACATTTGTACCTAAATTACTGTAAAATGGGCACTAAAATAGCCACCATTTTGAAAGTAACCATTTTGAAAATCAACTTTTGAACAGAACTGCTATTGAAAAAGGGTACAAATGTATAAAAAATATGAACAAAATTGGGTCAGCGGTATTTGAATTATCGCCCGGACAGACGTACATAAGTATGTATGGACAGACAGAGGGACGGAGGCGTTCTCTATATCCCTCAAAACTTCGCTTCATGGGATAATGACCAGTAGAATATAACATGGGATTATATTTTTTGTATAAATTATAAAAAGCATTTATTTATTTATAAATAGGCCATCTATACTTTAAATTCCAATGTATTCACAAGACATACCAAATTACCGACTAGACAACAGCAACGCCAAAGCGTAGCAAATCCCATTGAACAGCCATAGCTGGCACTTTTACAAAAAAAGTATATAGTAAAAATGGCAGCCATTTTTCAAAATGACCACCTTGCACCACAAGTGTCATTAGACAGTGTGCCTTGCTTATAGTATTCACATACCAAATATGAAAAATCGCTCTGCTACTTTTCGAGTTATAGTAAAATACGCTAAAATGGCCGCCTTCTACCAAAAGTGTCATTACAGTGTGCCATGCTTATAGTATTCACATACCAAATATGAACAAAATCGCTCCACTTCTTTTCCAGTTATAGTAAAAAACATTAACAAGCGGCCATTTTGAAAAATGGCCAACTTCTACCAAAAGTGTCATTAGACAGTGTGCCATGCTTGTAGTATTCACATACCAAATATGAACAAAATCGCTCTGCTACTTTTTGAGTTATAGTAAAATACGTTAAAATGGCCGCCTTCTACCAAAAGTGTCATTACAGTGTGCCATGCTTATAGTATTCACATACCAAATATGAACAAAATCCCTCAACTACTTTTCCAGTTATAGTAAAATACAATAAAATAGCGGCCACCTTCTACCAAAAGTGTCATTAGACAGTGTGCCATGCTTGTAGTATTCACATACAAAATATGAACAAAATCGCTCCACTACTTTTCGAGTTACAGCAAAAATCTAGAATAGGGAGTGAAGGCAGCCATTTTGCAAGATGGCTGCCATGTGCCTTTTTAAGATCTACATTTCTAGATTTATTAATGCCTATATATTTTTTTCATAATTGAAATACATATTGGTATTACAGCTTTACATAGTGTACCTAAATTACTGTAAAATCTGAACTAAAATGGCCGCCATTTTTGAATGAGCGGCCATTTTGAAAATTGGCTTTCGAGCAGAACTAATACCCCCATAGGGTATATGTCTACTAAACATGAACAAAATCGGGCCCATGGTATTTGAGTTCTTGCCCGGACAGACGGAGGCGTTCCCTATATCCCTCCGAACTTCATTCGATGGGATAATAAAGTTATTTATCACATAGTTCTCAGACAGATGCGACATAGATGTCATTGACCAATTATATAATCAAAAGGAGGAGGGAAAGTAACGCAACAGATTTCGGACAGTCATATATTGGATCTTGGCTATTTTCTTAGGATTAAAACAAGTGCATATGTTAGGCCAATGCATTATCTCGAGGAAAAGCACTCGGCATGGAGATGATAAAATAATTTCGCCTTTGAGACAAGGAAGATGCAAACAACCCACCAACATGTTTTTCTGAAATGTTGTCCTGATTTTCAACCCCTTCCACCCCTGCTTTTTTAATTTTTGTTGCATCAATATGTTGCATTTTAAGAGACAGTTAACCCCTTAAAAGGAATAACTGATTCCTCTTAGATAAAGTGGAAAACAATATTTCCCATGTTATTTTCCCATAGGAAAAACTCATGCAATCCATTGCATTTTAAGAGACAGTTAACCCCTTAAAAGGAATAACTGATTCCTCTTAGATAAAGTGGAAAACAATATTTCCCATGTTATTTTCCCATAGGAAAAACTCATGCAATCCATTGCTTTCAGCTAATTTTGGTCACTCGTAATGGATATTTTTAAAACCCATGGAGGAATCACTTATTCCCTTGCAGGGGTTAACTGAGTGTCAAAATGCAACATTGATGCAACAAAAATTGAAAAACAAGGGGTGGAAGGGGTTGTAAATCAGGACGACATTTCAGAAAAAACATGTGGGTGGGTTGTTTGCTTCTTCCCTGTCTCAAAATCGAAACTATTTTATCATCTCTATGAGTGCTTTTCCTGGAGATAATACATTGGCCTAACATATGCATCTGTTTAAATCCTCAGAAAATAGCCAAAGTCCAACATATGACTGTCCGAAATCTGTTGCGATACTTTCCCTCCTCCTTTAATGAAGGATATGGTTTTTATTCATTAATGGATATCACATTCACCATTGGTAATCATGTTAAAAGATAGGATGAACTTATGAATACAATATATATGTCCTATGTTGATTTCAAGTAGATGTGCAATACGCCAAAAATTTTCATTTTTGTATAAATACAAAACTACATACATGGATAATAGTTGAACAACAATAACAGGTTAGCACTTGTTTTTAGTAAATATGTAATGCAAATAACATGTATACACAAGGAGGATTGGCTCCCAGGATTGAAACTTGATATTTTCCAACAATGAAAACTTTGAAATGTTATTATTTTCTGAAATTATAACCGACTATAAATTCAAAATAAACAAATCAAAAGATTCAAACCAATATCTCGATCATTTCTTGTGAGTTTTGGAATTTTCCGTTAGGAAATAAGACCAAAATTCATGATTCAAATGTTGAAGTGAACAAAATGGTGGCTGTCTGAATTCAAATTTTGTGTCACGACATGCCCATATATGGGATAGAATATCAATGTTGAACTCTGGGAGCCAATCCTCCTCGGTGTATACATAATGATATTTTACGTAGATGCAAAATAAAATGGCAATACATGTTTACAATGAACTAAATTGTAGTAAATGAAACATATCATTTTTATATGGTTGATTGACACATGCAATCTGAATGATAAATATGCATAAGAAATTTGAAGAAGCCTCAACAGAAATCAGTACAATTAATTTACTTCATATTCCAAAGGATGTGGAGTGTCTGGAAAGTGAGAAAGAAACAGGAGAAATAGTAAAGTAAGATCCAAAGCCTGCATTTTCACAACTTGTTAAAAAAACAAACTCTCAATTCTCATGTTGCAGTTTGCAAGTATTAACTACATACAGAATGATAGAGAATGACACTTCCTTCATATGGGCCAAAAGTATTCCTTGTAGACAAATGTGTTCCTCACAGAGAATGATTAAGTTAATGATACTTGATTCTTTTGAAAAATTCCATGTATAGGGGTGTTTCTAACTGAAAGGTGTTTTACTGTCTGGTATATTTAGTGCACCAGGCATGACAGGCACTAAACAACTTACAGGTTTATCTACGATGATCCAATTCATGTGATTCACTATATGTGATGATCAAATATATAAAATATTCACACATAGCTAGGCATGGTGTGTCCAATTCCAGCCAATCAGAACAGATATTCATGTAATGAACAGTGTGTGAAATATCAATAACACATGCAAGGTCACTCGTTAAACAGTTGTCATGGTGATGAATGGACTTTTCACATTGGATTTGATGACTTGCCAACTTGACCCTTGCAAAACATTTTATTGAAAATGTGTTCTTTCAGTGATTCCGTTCCTCTTGGATGATTTTGTAGTAAAAATTGCAATGTGTGAAAAGAATTTAACCCCAAGACTCAAAACATTGTTACATTGTGGCTGCATCATTCCACTTATATGTGGTTTCCTAACTTTGCATTCCCTCTGCGGGGTCATGCAAAGATTTGGAAACATGATATGATTCAGCAAACAATGCACTGAGTCCAGGGCTTAAATCCTTAAACCATACAATATGATCCACTATATTTGTGATGATCCAAAATATAATTTATGTTAGATAACATTCATTCAAGTTTCATATGTACAACTAAGCACATCTCAATTATTTCATGCAGCATTGTAAAACTTCCATTGTACATCTTCCTACTTTAGTAAAAATAGTAGTCCACTATTGTAGAAAAAGTAGTCCACTATTGTAGAATAAGTATTCCAATGCAGTCTCTCTATGGAATTCTGACACACAGTTTGCTATTGTCATTTCACCTTGTAATTGAGGGCGATGTTTCTGTCAGTATACATATTTCAAGCTGGAAGACTGTTAAGGAAACAAACAATATTAACAAACAAACAATATTAACAAACAAACAATATTTACAAACAAACAATATTATTGGCCCCTTAGTATCTCAAAATTATTTATAAAAATAGTTCCAGTACTGGAGTCTCTTTGCATTTACTTTAAATATGGAAATTCTATTTGCATGCTATCAATTAAATAAATGACCTTTCATGCAGTTTCTTTTTTGAGATAAAAATATGGCACTATTTATTAATTGTTCCATCTACAACTGCATTTCATAGCAACATTGTTCTATCACTGTAAAGCCTCAGATGGATAAGATTTCCATCTTAATAAGCAGCCAAGATATGGATATTCTTTCTGATTTAAATGAATGTCAATGCAAAATAAATCCCATGTGGACATATTATCAAGAAACAAATTGGTATTTCATCTGTATTCGAGTTTTTTTTATCATTTTTGCTTTACAAATCTCTACTTTCTTACAGTATTGGGTATAAACATAGTAGAAACATACATTTTCAATACAACCATTTATAAATAGGGGCTCTTCAGCAATAAAATAAATCAAATTTATCTTAAAAACTCTAAGCACCTTATAACCCTCCCTCCATCAATGATGTCTGTTAGTTTAGTATTGGGTTTTAGTTGAGTTTAGTATTGGGTATAAACATAGTAGAAATATAAATAGGGGCTCTTGAGCAATAACATAAATCAAATTGATCTTAAAAAAGGACCTTATAACCCTCCCTCCATCAATGATGTCTGTTAGTTTAGTATTGGGTTTTAGTTGAGTTTAGTATTGGGTATAAACATAGTAGAAATATAAATAGGGGCTCTTGAGCAATAACATAAATCAAATTGATCTTAAAAACTCTAAGGACCTTATAACCCTCCCTCCATCAATGATGTCTGTTAGTTTAGTAATAAGGATACACATCTGAGGCCTCTCTCTATGGGATCAATCAGCATCAAACCCCTTGGAAGGTACACATTGTCATTTTGATCTTGCAAAAACCGGCCAATCTTTTTTAAAACCTGAAATCAAAAGTTGAGAATAATTTAATTTTTTTTTAAATCTAACAGCATATGGCTATCATCCAAAAAGATAAAGAAAAACACAACCATCATCCAAAGTTATTCATGTTACAATTACATTGTTACGTACTACGAATAGACTAGTGACAGACAAACTTAATGAAGATAAAAACATGAAAACAGAACAAACGGAATTCAAATATTTCAGACATACATTTAACTGTATCACAAAAAATACACACTTACTTTTTCATAATGAGTGTCCATACACATGTAAACAAGATATGCAGAGAGACAAGCAAAGCAACTTTCACAATATGACTTTGAGCTTAAACTCTCTGCTTCCGTATATAGTTCATTAAGCCTGTTCATTGTTGCATCAAAGTCCTTTTTATCAATCTAAAATATAAAAATTTGGATATATTACATCGAGCATTGTAGGATTCACAGTCTGTAGATCTCTTGGAGTAGCCACCCTAAAGCATAAGTATTATACAGGCTCTGATAAATCATATTTGCATTGAACATTGTAGGATTCACAGTCTGTACATCTCTTGGAGTAGCCACCATAAATCATAAGTATTATACAGGCTCTGATAAATCATATTTGCATTGAACATTGTAGGATTCACAGTCTGTACATCTCTTGAAGTAGCCACCATAAATCATAAGTATTATACAGGCTCTGATGAATCATATTTGCATTGAACATTGTAGGATTCACAGCCTGTACATCTCTTGAAGTAGCCACCATAAATCATAAGTATTATACAGGCTCTGATAAATCATATTTGCATTGAACATTGTAGGATTCACAGTCTGTACATCTCTTGAAGTAGCCACCATAAATCATAAGTATTATACAGGCTCTGATGAATCATATTTGCATTGAACATTGTAGGATTCACAGCCTGTACATCTCTTGGAGTAGCCACTCTAAAGCATAAGTATTATACAGGCTCTGATGAATCATATTTGCATTGAACATTGTAGGATTCACAGTCTGTACATCTCTTGGAGTAGCCACCATAAATCATAAGTATTATACAGGCTCTGATAAATCATATTTGCATGGAACATTGTAGGATTCACAGTCTGTACATCTCTTGGAGTAGCCACCCTAAAGCATAAGTATTATACAGGCTCTGAAAAATCATATTTGCATGGAACATTGTAGGATTCACAGTCTGTACATCTCTTGGAGTAGCCACCCTAAAGCATAAGTATTATACAGGCTCTGATGAATCATATTTGCATTGAACATTGTAGGATTCACAGCCTGCACATCTCTTGGAGTAGCCACCATAAATCATAAGTATTATACAGGCTCTGATGAATCATATTTGCATTGAACATTGTAGGATTCACAGCCTGCACATCTCTTGGAGTAGCCACTCTAAAGCATAAGTATTATACAGGCTCTGATGAATCATATTTGCATTGAACATTGTAGGATTCACAGTCTGTACATCTCTTGGAGTAGCCACCATAAATCATAAGTATTATACAGGCTCTGATGAATCATATTTGCATTGAACATTGTAGGATTCACAGTCTGTACATCTCTTGGAGTAGCCACCATAAATCATAAGTATTATACAGACTCTGATGAATCATATTTGCATTGAACATTGTAGGATTCACAGTCTGTACATCTCTTGAAGTAGCCACCATAAATCATAAGTATTATACAGGCTCTGATGAATCATATTTGCATTGAACATTGTAGGATTCACAGTCTGTACATCTCTTGGAGTAGCCACCATAAATCATAAGTATTATACAGACTCTGATGAATCATATTTGCATTGAACATTGTAGGATTCACAGTCTGTACATCTCTTGGAGTAGCCACCATAAATCATAAGTATTATACAGGCTCTGATGAATCATATTTGCATTGAACATTGTAGGATTCACAGTCTGTACATCTCTTGGAGTAGCCACCATAAATCATAAGTATTATACAGACTCTGATGAATCATATTTGCATTGAACATTGTAGGATTCACAGTCTGTACATCTCTTGGAGTAGCCACCATAAAGCATAAGTATTATACAGGCTCTGATAAATCATATTTGCATTGAACATTGTAGGATTCACAGTCTGTACATCTCTTGAAGTAGCCACCATAAATCATAAGTATTATACAGGCTCTGATAAATCATATTTGCATTGAACATTGTAGGATTCACAGTCTGTACATCTCTTGGAGTAGCCACCCTAAAGCATAAGTATTATACAGGCTCTGATGAATCATATTTGCATTGAACATTGTAGGATTCACAGTCTGTACATCTCTTGGAGTAGCCACCATAAATCATAAGTATTATACAGGCTCTGATAAATCATATTTGCATTGAACATTGTAGGATTCACAGCCTGCACATCTCTTGGAGTAGCCACCATAAATCATAAGTATTATACAGGCTCTGATAAATCATATTTGCATTGAACATTGTAGGATTCACAGTCTGTACATCTCTTGGAGTAGCCACTCTAAAGCATAAGTATTATACAGGCTCTGATAAATCATATTTGCATTGAACATTGTAGGATTCACAGCCTGTACATCTCTTGGAGTAGCCACCCTAAAGCATAAGTATTATACAGGCTCTGATGAATCATATTTGCATTGAACATTGTAGGATTCACAGTCTGTACATCTCTTGGAGTAGCAACCCTAAAGCATAAGTATTATACAGGCTCTGATGAATCATATTTGCATTGAACATTGTAGGATTCACAGCCTGTACATCTCTTGGAGTAGCCACTCTAAAGCATAAGTATTATACAGGCTCTGATGAATCATATTTGCATTGAACATTGTAGGATTCACAGTCTGTACATCTCTTGGAGTAGCCACCATAAAGCATAAGTATTATACAGGCTCTGATGAATCATATTTGCATTGAACATTGTAGGATTCACAGCCTGTACATCTCTTGGAGTAGCCACCCTAACGCATAAGTATTATACAGGCTCTGATAAATCATATTTGCATTGAACATTGTAGGATTCACAGCCTGTACATCTCTTGAAGTAGCCACCATAAATCATAAGTATTATACAGGCTCTGATAAATCATATTTGCATTGAACATTGTAGGATTCACAGTCTGTACATCTCTTGGAGTAGCCACCATAAATCATAAGTATTATACAGGCTCTGATGAATCATATTTGCATTGAACATTGTAGGATTCACAGTCTGTACATCTCTTGGAGTAGCCACCATAAATCATAAGTATTATACAGGCTCTGATAAATCATATTTGCATTGAACATTGTAGGATTCACAGTCTGTACATCTCTTGAAGTAGCCACCATAAATCATAAGTATTATACAGGCTCTGATGAATCATATTTGCATTGAACATTGTAGGATTCACAGCCTGTACATCTCTTGGAGTAGCCACCATAAATCATAAGTATTATACAGGCTCTGATAAATCATATTTGCATTGAACATTGTAGGATTCACAGCCTGTACATCTCTTGGAGTAGCAACCCTAAAGCATAAGTATTATACAGACTCTGATGAATCATATTTGCATTGAACATTGTAGGATTCACAGTCTGTACATCTCTCGGAGTAGCCACTCTAAAGCATAAGTATTATACAGGCTCTGATGAATCATATTTGCATTGAACATTGTAGGATTCACAGTCTGTACATCTCTTGGAGTAGCCACCCTAAAGCATAAGTATTATACAGGCTCTGATAAATCATATTTGCATTGAACATTGTAGGATTCACAGTCTGCACATCTCTTGGAGTAGCCACCCTAAAGCATAAGTATTATACAGGCTCTGATAAATCATATTTGCATTGAACATTGTAGGATTCACAGCCTGTACATCTCTTGGAGTAGCCACTCTAAAGCATAAGTATTATACAGGCTCTGATAAATCATATTTGCATTGAAAATTGTAGGATTCACAGTCTGTACATCTCTTGGAGTAGCCACCCTAAAGCATAAGTATTATACAGGCTCTGATAAATCATATTTGCATTGGACATTGTAGGATTCACAGTCTGTACATCTCTTGGAGTAGCCACCATAAATCATAAGTATTATACAGGCTCTGATGAATCATATTTGCATTGAACATTGTAGGATTCACAGCCTGCACATCTCTTGGAGTAGCCACCCTAAAGCATAAGTATTATACAGGCTCTGATAAATCATATTTGCATTGAACATTGTAGGATTCACAGTCTGTACATCTCTTGGAGTAGCCACTCTAAAGCATAAGTATTATACAGGCTCTGATAAATCATATTTGCATTGAACATTGTAGGATTCACAGTCTGTAGATCTCTTGGAGTAGCCACTCTAAAGCATAAGTATTATACAGGCTCTGATAAATCATATTTGCATTGAACATTGTAGGATTCACAGCCTGTACATCTCTTGGAGTAGCCACTCTAAAGCATAAGTATTATACAGGCTCTGATAAATCATATTTGCATTGAACATTGTAGGATTCACAGCCTGTACATCTCTTGGAGTAGCCACCCTAAAGCATAAGTATTATACAGGCTCTGATAAATCATATTTGCATTGAACATTGTAGGATTCACAGCCTGTACATCTCTTGGAGTAGCCACTCTAAAGCATAAGTATTATACAGGCTCTGATGAATCATATTTGCATTGAACATTGTAGGATTCACAGTCTGTACATCTCTTGGAGTAGCCACCCTAACGCATAAGTATTATACAGGCTCTGATAAATCATATTTGCATTGAACATTGTAGGATTCACAGCCTGTACATCTCTTGGAGTAGCCACCATAAATCATAAGTATTATACAGGCTCTGATAAATCATATTTGCATCGAACATTGTAGGATTCACAGTCTGTACATCTCTTGGAGTAGCCACCCTAAAGCATAAGTATTATACAGGCTCTGATAAATCATATTTGCATGGAACATTGTAGGATTCACAGTCTGTACATCTCTTGGAGTAGCCACCCTAAAGCATAAGTATTATACAGGCTCTGATAAATCATATTTGCATTGAACATTGTAGGATTCACAGCCTGTACATCTCTTGGAGTAGCCACCCTAAAGCATAAGTATTATACAGGCTCTGATAAATCATATTTGCATTGAACATTGTAGGATTCACAGTCTGTACATCTCTTGGAGTAGCCACCATAAATCATAAGTATTATACAGGCTCTGATAAATCATATTTGCATCGAACATTGTAGGATTCACAGTCTGCACATCTCTTGGAGTAGCCACCATAAATCATAAGTATTATACAGGCTCTGATAAATCATATTTGCATTGAACATTGTAGGATTCACAGTCTGTACATCTCTTGGAGTAGCCACCCTAAAGCATAAGTATTATACAGGCTCTGATAAATCATATTTGCATTG